GTGACAGTCGGTACTCCATTTACCAACATTACTCCTGTACTGTTTCTACACCCTGGATGGTCTTCTGACACTTTGGACCCTTCAGTCACTGCTTGTAGTTACTAGTTAGACTTTTTTGATTGCATTCACAGATCTTTGTGGGGACCTGAAAAATGGTCCCCATAATGTTAAAACGACAGATTTTTATTACATTGTGGGGTACATTTGATCCTCACAATGTAATATAAATATAATCCATACGCACACACGCACAGACTCTCCATGCAAACTCCATCTTTCCCCACATTCATGCCCCTCAGCAGCTTGAATGTATCTAAGCTTCTTGCCCACAGCCCCACCCCCTGTGCCCTGGCCCCTCTCCCATCCTACACACCATGTCTTCTACAGTAACCCCTGCACTCACTCACTTTGTCAATGCATGACTCACAACCAGCATATTCCCAGCCTCATTTAACAGGCTTGTATAGCACCGCTGCTCAAAAATCCACAATTGAACCTCATCAAAGACTGAAAATTACTGTCCAGTCTTTCCTCTCTTTCTTGTCTAAAACTCTTGAACATGCCATCCTCAGTCAAGTCTCTGAATTTCTCAAACAGAAATGCCTCCTGGACCCACTCCAGTCTGACTTCAGACCTGGACACTGAAGCTGCCATCCTAGATGTTGTTGATGCTCTGAGAGCCATGAGAGCTGGTACTTGGTCATCTTTCCTGGTCCTGCTAGACCAACACAGTAAATCATCAAATCCTCCCATCCAGCCTCTCTCTTCCTGGAATTGCAGGGGGCTGGTTTGACTTGTAATTATCAAACATCATTCCAAGTGTCTTGGGATACAGAGATACAGAGGTGTCCAAGTCACATCAGGAAACAACTGATGCCCCCCAAGTCTCTATTCTTGGTCCGTTCCTCTTCTCTCTTTACTTTACCTCTCTAGTTCTGATTGTTCAGTCACATGGCTTCTCCTGCCACTACTACTCTGAAGACCTCCAGATATACCTTCCCTTCTGAAGACACCACAGTCTCTGCTCAGATCTCTGCATGTCTTGCTGACATCACAGCCCGGATGAACCATCATCACCTCTAGCTAAATCTCTTAAAGATCAAACTTCTTGTCTTCCATACTCGGCCTATCATCCACCATGACATCACTGTTCAGCTTGGATCATCCATACTGTCTACACCAAGGCTGACCAGAAATCTAGGGGTAATGATGAATGTCCAGCTGTCCTCTGCTGAGCATGTAGCAGCACTCTCCCATCCTGCAGATTCACCCTGTATAACATTGGGAAGTATACAACATAGTCAAAAGTATGTGGTCAGCCTTACTAATTAGAGTAGTTGGCTAATTAAACCACACCTATTCCTGGCATAGGTGTATCATTAAATACACATTCATGCAATAGCCAGAGGCGCAAAACAGTAGTAGAATGTGTGGCTGCACAATAGAGGTTAGTGACTTTCCACTTGGCACCATCATAGGGCACCATCCTTCCAACAAGTCAGTTTGCCAAGTTTCTGTCCTGCTAGAGCTGCACTGATCAATGGCAAGTGATGTGGAGATATCTGAGAGGACATTCAGCTGTGAAGTGGTAGGACAGAGAAGCTGATATGTATCTGATCACCCAACATCAATACCCAACTTAAATGGCAGCAAACCCCACCAGCAATGATCCAGCATCTAATGGACAGTCTTCCCAGTTCAGTAGACGCTATTATAGTAACATAGGTTGGCCCAACTATATATTAAGACCCTTTGTTTTGGAAAGAGATTTTGGAGAAGCTGGTGTCCACATACTTTAGGCTGTATAGTGTATTTGAATGAGTATGTATCTCAACTTCTTGTCCAGACACTAATTATCTGACATTAAAACTCTCTACTATCATGTTAACCCACTTGTGTTGTCAAAACACGCAAATGATTCAAAAAGCAGTTGCACGTCTGGTATCTAATCAGCTAACTTTACTTACAGTGAGAACTACTTCAACAAAGAATAAAATATGGGGAGCTACACATTTGATCCAACTGGTTGGGTATG